AGAGCACAGATATAGTATCTTTGGACTTGCAATGATTGTGCATGAAAATACAAGGCCTACTATCTCTGGTATTTGTTTTTCATCTTGTAGTATGTCCAAAAATCTCATGATCTCAAGTGCACTCTTATAGTATGTCCACATTTTATTTTACAATTAGGTTAGGTTTAGGACATACAGCATCTGTCCACAACAGAACATAACACCAAAAAAGAATCCGTGAATTGGCTAAAGGTAAAGTGGTTCGGGTTTCAAAAAGCAAGCCCCTTTGAAATTCGATACAAGTACGAACTTAACAAGGAAATAGAGTTTTTGACTCTTGATGTACGATGGATTGCGAGACGCCATTTGTCTGGGAACAACAACTTCTCAGTCCAAAGTACACCGAGCCTATTCCGGTTTCCAGCGCCAAGAAAAAGGATTTGATGTACCTACTTAACGCGGGTGTAATCCCAGAAGTATTCACGCATTTTGTCACTGAAATCCCTAGTTCGGTATCGGCAAGAGATATTGTACTTTACGTCATAGAGGAAGAAGAAGGAAACGAGCCTCTCACTGAAGTTACCAAAAAGAAAGAAGGAAGACGCAGTAGAAGAGATGCTATAGGGCAAGAAACCAGAAAAAGAAGTAATGTAAAGAGAGTTTAAGAAATCCAAGAAGGCTAAAAAAACCAGAGAAAATAAAAGAAATTAAAACTTCATAAGAAAATAAAGTAATGTGTCTAAAGGACAGCACTGTTGAATAAACCCCATTAAGACTGACTAAACAAAATACAGTTTGTACTGTATAGGTACCATTTGACAAAAGGCACTACCTGATTTATTTCGTGCTTTGTTTAATGTTTCGTTTAGGCCTATTTTGTGTTTGAGTTTCTAATGACTGATAGGCCAAGTAATTTTATTTTAAAAAATTTGAAAAATAAAAGTAGTCTACAATATAAGACAATAACAGTCATGGGCGCCCGCAGGATTTGGAACATGGGGGGTGCAATATTATAGGTCTAACAAACCTCCAGGGGTTCGGGGCCTTCCCCGGGAAAAAATCTGAAAATATAGTGTTTTAAAACATATTTTTACGCTATTTTGTAATACATAAAACCAACCAAAACAAAATAGTACATTGTGCATCAAGGACGGTCATCTGAGGGAGTCGTCGTTTTTTATGCCAACATTAACAATTAGCCAAACAATTATAAAGAAAAAAATATAGAGTTTAATAAAGCCTAGATAACAGCCAAGAAAGTTTATGTTTTGTTTCCTGAATAGTTTTGTTAAAGTATGAAAGTATACAAAGTATAAAAGATTTTTACATCTGTGAGTCAACTACTTATTTGATTAAAACATCAATTTAAAACATTTTTTAGACATGACCATTTTGAACATACTTTTATAAATTCCTTTAAACCCAAGTGATCACAGAACATTATGTGTATTAAATTTATTTATATTTTTTTAGCCAGGGGACACCCATGATAACAGTTGTTTAAATTTTTCATTCCTTACTAAAACCATCTAGGGGCAGCTTTTGTATTGCACACTCGTAGCATGTCCATAAATCTGCGCGTTCAGAAGTGCACATATATAGTATGTCCAACATGGTTTGATTAACAAATTATTTGTAAAAATGTGGCTTGAATAAAGATAAAACTATTTATGTAGATGCATTTTTAATAAATGGGGCCAATAAAATTTATTCATTTCAAACATTTAACAGTTTTAGTTTAAGTTTCCCCCATTATACAAACTTTGTTTTTGCGGTTTCCGAAAGTTTACCAAAATGGACATACAACTATTGTGCTTATAACCATCGATATGATGTCATTTTGAAAAATTAAAAAAACTACAACATAACAGCGCATAAATAAAATATTATTAAAAGCAACAAAGATTAACAATCCATTGATTAAATGAATGGAAAAGGCGTTCATCCCACAATACGGCGGAGTTTGCAAAAGGTATACTAGTTTTTGCAGGCGATGTTTCGTATGGTACTCAGCCATACATATACAATAAGTGCCGGCTATGTATAACAAGCTTTATTTTTAAATTGATTTCCTTGTAAAATCAAATAACTCAATTGTTAATATAAGTGTAGTAAGAAGATTCTTTCACTTCGTTCACTCATCTATTATTACAATTAATACAATAATAGCATTCCCCAAAAATTTAAGTTGCCTTTTTTAAAATAAAACTTATTATGATATCTTCTGGCCAAAAGTTTAATTATCGTTCTGATTTTAAAATATTTATTTAACATTACAAAGTTTAAAGTAAATTATTCACCTACTATAGGAGGGTTTCGAAAAGGGTCTAACTTCAAAAAATACAAAAGGATTTTTTTATTCTAAGAAAATAAGCAGAAACCAGATTTATTTATCTTAGTAGCAAAAATGCTATACAAATATATAGCACGGGTTACTTTTGTATTAGTCTTACTCTTATCCCATTTAAATACTATAATAATGATAGTATCAATAAACAAATGCATATTAGTTATGTAAAGGAGACTTTGTCCTGACCGCACCAGCCTAACAGATGCGTTGGCCACTGGCAACAAGGTCTACCGGCAGCAAACACGACTACATCCCCTTCACCCGTCACGGAACTGGTTCAGCTCGGACATTTCGCACCACCAATCGTAGGTCAGGTTGGTGGTCGTAGACCTTGTTGGCCGCGGACCTTGGCGCGTCCCCTCCTTAACGCTTAGCGCCACTTGAATAGCTGGGGTGTTAAGTTTCAAAAACTGATAAACTTCTTTGATCTGCTTGTACGCGCCAATGAAATTTGTACCATTATCAGAATAAATATCTGAGCAGATTCCTCGTCGACCAATAAATCGGTTGAGGGCAGCTAAAAAATCATCAGTAGAAAGACTAGAGACAACTTCAAGATGTACTGCTTTTGTGGATAAGCATACAAAGAGACACAAGTATGACTTGTATATTAAAGGTTTGCGTGCATGATGAGTTTTGGTTTGAAATGGACCACCAAAATCGATACCGACTTGTTGAAAGGGCTTGTTTCGTTGAAGTCTTGCAGCAGGTAAAGATGCCATGAAAGGTTGAGGCGCTAGAGCTTTGAATCTAGCGCATTGATTGCATAATCTTAAGCGCTTTCGTATTAAGTTGCGGCTAGAAAGAATCCAAAATCTTCTATGTATAATTGATTGTAAACTTCGTGGGCCAATGTGAAGATAGATGCGATGATAGTGATCAACAATTAAAGACGACAAATGTGCTTGCTTAGGCAGCAAAATAGGATGCTTTTGGTCATAACTTACATCTGAAAGTTTTAATCGACCACAAACTCTCAAAATTCCATTAGAGTCGATAAAGACGTCAAGTTTAGCGAGGGCTCCCGTCACTGGAATATTAGACGTTAAATTGCTAAATGCATCAGCAAAGTAGGTACTCTGAGTTTTCATAACCAACAGGTTAACAGTAGTATGCAATTCTTCAATGCTTAAGGGGGTAAAAACCCTTTTATCACGAGGTTTAGTCACAACTGTTTTATCACAACTGTTTGTTTGCGAAGCGAAGACACCAAGCAGTCACTCTCTTCAAACGCTCAAATGTTGAAAAACGTTCCAATATGGACAGATCACTAGTGACCATCTTAGAAAAATTACTCTGATGAGAGCATTGTCTAGCTTCCGGTAATTGTGTTAGGGGAACTTGATCATAGTCTTGTTTAGGCCAAAGAGCTGAATCCTTTAACAACCAGCTTGGGCCTTGCCACCATAACTCATGGTTGATTAACTGGCTTGGAAACAATCCTCTTGAGGCACAATCTGCAGGGTTGGTGGTTGTAGGAACATGAAACCAACAATTCGGGTTGGTTTTCTCTTGGATAACAGCAACTCTGTTGGCGATAAAAGTCTTTAAAACATGGGGAGAGTTATGAATCCAATTTAGTGTGATCGTAGAATCAGACCAAGCGTAGATAGCAGGATAGAAGTTCAGACGTTTGTGTAGGATAGTTTTACAATAGTCAATTAAGTTGGCGAGTAATACTGCAGCACAAAGTTCCAATCTAGGCAGTAAAGTGGTTTTTAAAGGCGCAACCTTTGATTTGGAGAGAAAAAGATGGCATGATACTGAATCATCTTCATGCACAACTCGTAGATAAACAACAGCAGCGTAAGCGTGGGTTGAAGCATCAGCGAAGCCATGGAGCGAAATTTCCTTGAAAGCAGGCGACAAAAAATAGCGGGTTATTGTAACTCCACTTAGTAAGGGCAGCTCGTTTATAAACTTGAACCATTCGTCTTGGATCGATGTATCAGGTAAGTCATCCCACCCTATGCCTAGGGTCCAGAGGCGTTGAATCAGAATTTTTGCCCAAATAACGACAGGTGAAAAATGTCGAAAATGCGAGCAATGTGAGACAAAATGTTCCGTTTTGTTGGAATTGCATCAGGAGTCTGAATTTGGTAGCTGAAAACATCTGAAGATGGACACCATTTAATGCCTAAGACCTTGATTGTAGGTATGATGTTATGATCAGTGAAGGTTAACTTAGGCTCTCAGTCCGCTTCAGTGACTGTAGACAAAAATTCTGAACTATTACTGCTCCACTTTTTGAGCTCAAATCCACCTTTACTCAAGAGAGAGTTTAAATCATTCTTCAACGATAAAGCTTCGTCAAGCGAATGTGCTCCAGATAGTAAATCATCAACAAACATGTCTTCGAGGATAGGCCTAATTGCTAGTGGAAAATTCTTGCCTTCATCTTGGACTAATTGTTTAAGAGTGCGCATAGCCAGAAATGGCGAACTTGTTACTCCGTAAGTAACTGTAGTAAGTGTGAATTCTTGAATAGGCTCTGTGGGAGAAGCTCTCCACAATATGGTTTGAAAGGGTTGATGTTCAGGATGGACTCTGATTTGTCGGTACATTTTTGAAATGTCAGCAACAAGTGCAATATGGGATGGAGACGAAAATTGCATACAATTTCCACTATATCCTTTTGTAGTTTAGGACCAGCATGTAGAATATCATTAAGTCACTTGCCGTTCGATGAGGCAGCAGAGGTGTCAAATACAGTGCGAAACCTGGTAGAGGGACTTGATTCCTTTAATATACCATGATGCGGTATAAAATACTGAGGCGGAGGGTCATTGTTCTTATTCGGGCGCATGTGGCCTAATTGAAGGTATTCGTCCATAAAAGCGTTGTACGAAGTTCTCAATTGAGGTTGAGCAGCAAGTTTTTTTTCCAAGGAGCGAAGACGGGAAGTAGCGTTTTGGTATGAAGAACCTAATTCTGGAGCATTTTCAATAAAGGGCAGTTTGACAATGTACCTACCACTATCAGGATCCCTAGTGTGATTTTTGATAAAATGATCTTCACAAAATTTATCATTATCACTAGAATGAAAGATTTTAGGAAATTCTTCCAATTCCCAAAACTGCTTTAGTTGAATGTCAAGAGAATTGTTGTCAAAGGTGCATAAATGTGAGGTTAGGCCTAGGCTTGAGGCGTACGTTGTTGCGTCTGAAAGTAAGTTGATTTGAGCCTTTCCAATAAGAACCCAACCAAAAACGCTGTGGTAAGGTGTGGGAAATCCTGTAGGCGATTGTAGCCGCCCGCCGTCGAATATGTCGGGATACAAGTCGGCACCAAGAAGAAAATCAATTGGACCCGGTACATCAAATTCGTCATCAGCAAGATCCAAATTCTGAAAGGCTTCTCTAACCTCAGAAGAAATCGAACAAGTTGGAAGTGGCGAAGTTATTTTTTCCAAAATAACAGCAGTAGCAGGTATTGTAGGTTGATTCTGGTGTTTAGGTTTTAGGAGACAGTTAACAATTCCCTTAGTTGCGTTGACAGGTACTTGAGACAAACCTTTTATAGGTAAATGATACCGTTGGCGCGGTAGGGCTAAACTCCGAACACAAGTTTCGGTGATAAAGGACAATTGTGAGCCTGGATCCACAAGCGCTCGAAAGCATTTAAATTGGCCAGTCATATCTTGGATTCCAAGTTTCAATGTGCCTAACAACGTCACTGACTGTTTTTCAGCAAGCCTATTCGGCATCTTTAAAGTTGCAGAGTTAGCAGTTAGGCCTAAACCAGCATGCTGCTGCATGGACTTAGGACTTTCATCAGATACTAAATTTGAAGTAGGCTCACTACATATATTAGACACATTCTTAGATTTATTAGCAGAACATTCTTGAGACAGGTTTGTGTTATCTATGTGAATTAGCGTGTGATGCCTCTGATTACATATTTTACACAAACTAAGAGATTGGCATTTATCCAGCATATGCAAGTTGCTCAAACAATTGAAACAAAATCTTTTAGATCTAACAAATTCTTTTCTCTGGTTGAGGCTTCAATGCTTGAAAGCGAGGGCAACGGTAGACATTATGCATTTCAGAACAATAAATGCAAGACGAAGGTGAAACATTGGAAACAAAGGATCTGTTTGTTTGGCCTAACCTAACCGCTGGCAAAGTGGCTGGATTAGTTTTGTTAAATGTAGGCCTAAGATTTGTTTTCAGGCCTAATGACTTAGGCTTAGGATCATGACATTGTGCGGCCTCAACAGCCTTACAATGATTTGACAAAAAACTTTTCAAATTATCCAAGGTTGGAAAATCATTCTTAGAGTACTCCTCCTCAAAGAGCTGTCTGGTACGTTTGTCCAGTTTTTTGGTTACAGTTTGAAAAATTATAAAATTGCCTAGGTTGTCTGGAAGTTCAATTCTTTCAAGAGCAGAAGTGTTTTCAACCAAAGTGTCGAGAAGGTGCCGAAGTTTGGCTGGAGATTCAAAATTCAAGTTTTCAAAGTTTAATATTTCGTCCACGTAGAGTGAGGCGAGAATGCGTTTGTTGTCATAGCGGGAGAATAATTTGTTCCAAATAATTATATAGTTAGGTTCAGTCAGGGGTAAGGTACGCACAAGTGCGTTTGCATCACCTTTGGTAGAAGAAATCAAATACTGAAACTTGTGAATATCTGATAAGGTTGGATTTTCATGGATTAGCGAAATAAAACAATCTCTGAAGGGTGGCCAATCTCTGGGAGTGCCATCAAAGCGTGGAAGGTCAATCCGAGGAAGTTTGAGTGAAGAATCAGAATTAGGCTTGGATAGTATTGAATCATCTGAATGCCGATTGCGACCAGATTCATGAGGAAAATATTGTTTGTATGCATTAAGAACATGAAAATAGCGAGTATCCATATCAGCGCTAAGTCTTTTAGTTGAAATCATTTCAGTAGCTTTGTTTTCATCACCTAGCAAAGATCTCAATTTAATAATTTCCAGATTGCTTTTATTAAAGCTATTGTACATACTTTCAAGTTTTTCCACTTTAAGTTTAAATTCATCTAGATTTTCAGATTCTAAAGTTAGGCTTAGGCTAAGAGTGTATAGCCCATCAATATGATCATAGGCCATGTCCCTTTTAAATAACAAAACTTCCAACTGGGAAGTATACTCCCTTTGAGATTTTGCTGACAGAGCCATTTTGTTTAAGCTCTAGGCTAATTTGTTGAATATCAATAGGCCTATTCATAAACACTACAAATGCAAAATTAATTGACTTCAGAATCCATAAAATATTTAAAGTTAGGCATACCTTGGTAGTAGTGCATCAGGGATAGGCCTGGTCAATGGCCAAGGCCAAGCCAATAGGCCTAGGCTAGGCCCATTACAAAGGACTGAAATTGGCAATACATTCACATAATACAGGATTTAACAAAAATATATAATATTCATTTGTAATAGCAATAAGATTCCACAAAATAGTAGGCTAAATATTTGTTTGTTATTCAGTATTTTCCAAATAAACTCCTTCCAACCATCGATGAGCTTCTTCAAAGTGCATTCAGTAAGTAACTTAGGTGAGATTGAGTCTATGAATAACCTCAAAAGTGTGAAAAATACAAATATAACTTGTATATATATATAGGCCTAGTCACAGCCATAAAGAATCTTGAGCTTCCTTTTTGATAAAATGCTTCAGCTTTAAGTTAGCTTCCACTTCTATTCTAATAGAAAGTTGAACTTGAAATCTTGATGAGGCCTAGGCCTAGTTTGCAAGTTGGTTGATAAAATACCAATAATGATTTAAATGTCCAATATGTATTGCCGACTTAAGATAATAAAGTATTTCAATACTTTTTTCTTGTAAACTGAATATTTTAATTGTCTGACTGAACAATTAAAGAAATTAAAACTGATCTTCTTGCAAAACTATGCAAACTTAAACATGACGTTTTCTTGCAGGAATCAGACTGCTTAAAACATGAAGTTTGATTTAAGTATGCTGATTTAAAATAAATAGTTTGATAAAACAAATTTGAAGAGAAAATGTGTAAATCCTGATAAAATAAGTTTATGTATCTAATTCTTGAAGTAAGTAGATGTAGGTAAATCACTGCTCTGCTGATGTAAATGAAATATGGAGAACTTACACGTCTTGAAGTCTTCTTAATGATTTTTTAAATTCACAATTTTAAAAATAATAATGTAAGTCACTGGTTCTAATAATTTTAAATCCGGCTCGAAGGACCAAAAAATATATGTTGCGTAAAGCGAAAAATAAACTGTTAGAAAGTTGAAAATGTAAAGATATGCGTGGTTAAAACAAGAGACAAATTTTGGTGATGCACCAACCTGGAACTATTACATTGAAGTGAAGGTCACAAGATGGCGGCTTCATCATCTTGGTTAGTGTCGTCTTGAGTAGTGGGGAGTGGGCGGGAAATTTGAATGTACATTACATTTTAACTTAAAATTAATTCTTCTTTTTTTGTGTTTTTAAATTAAAGAAAACTCTTCTTCATGGGATTATAATAATAGATAAAATAAAATAATTACTTCTTCTAACAGAGGCTAGAAACGATTTTTACTCCCTAAAGAGTAAAAATGCTACTTTAGACCCTAAACGCATGCATTAAAAACGACTGTTTTTACTGCAGTATGACAAAAACAATATAATATGAACCCTTGATGACCCCGCTCAATTTTGTGGATGCCTCTGCGAACGCCACCTAGTTATTGTAAATTATAAAGTCTAGGTTCTCATTTACAAGTATTGCAGATCCACCAGACATTAATCTAGCAAAAGAGGTTGCAACTAAAGTAGCCTCTAGGCTTAAGTTATTAATATCATTTTGTGAGACCCAGTGTTCAGTCAAACAAATCACAACCACACTACTGTCATTCCCAAGCAATTGTAGGTAATCTAGTTTGTTAGTAATGGATTGAATATTCCACAGGAGGATGTTTAATTTTTTAGCTGACCTAGATAGTGTTTTATTATATGCCTGGGGTAAGCAAATGTTATAGGAGTTCCCAACCGCTTTGTTATGCGATGATGAGAGTTGTGTGTCAGAATTATCTGACACTTCAGACTCCACGTTAAATTTACAAGAGTTGGGGGGAGTTTCTAAAAAATTTTCCTGACGCTTAGCAGTGCTTGTTGCTTTTTTTAGCAAACCTGAAGGCATTTATATATGCCCCAGTAGGCCAGAATTCAGGCAAATATATTTTGTCCCACAAGTGAGCAGGAATCCCTACCTTAAATCATTAAATGGTCGATAGCCTGGGAACCTGTTCCTCATTTGTGTGACTTTGTAATCACCACTAATTTCATCCTTTCATCCCACTAATTTCAAAATGCTCTAGGAAGGGAGGGAAACAGGTCCACGGCGTTGGAAGTGGTGAAGGAATTAGTAAAAGCTAAAGGGACTGAGTGTGGGAACCCTTTGTGGTGGTTAGATTAATGTATCGGATATCCTTAAATGCTTTGGGAAGGGAGGATAACAGGTCCACGACGAAGTGGTGAAAGAAATAGTAAAGGCTAGCAGTGGAGAGTGTGGGAACATTTGTATTTTGTATTACACCTATAAACATTTTTCATTTATTGCTTATTAAAAACCATGAAACATGATTGCTCTGCTCAACTGGCTTTCACTGCTATGAAAGCAATCCTAGTTTAGTCCAGGCGCTAAACGGGTTGAGTATGCACTGAAAGTCTGACAAAATTTGACTTTTGATTATTGTTGGGGACATCTAGTAGATGAAAAAAATCGATGATGTCGCATTTCTAGGGTGGTTACAACGGGCGCAGGCCGAAAGCCACGAATGTTTATCTCTATAAGCTGGGGGGACGTAAGCCACGACAATTAGCGAGGGGTTGAGAAGTTTTAATCCTGGGAACGAAAGCCACGACGGCAGGTCAGGTAGTTGGGAGGGGCGAGGGAGAAACGGGAATCTTTCACTTGAACATGACAATTATAATATGCAGGGATGGACGCAAATATTTTGCTAAAGCTGTTTGATGATGTCTCAACGGATTTCAAATACAGCCGTAAGAGCTAAAAATAATGAGGGAGCAGTCAAATGAAACCCTATATTCCATGTATATTATGACTGTTAATCACTTAGTTAATTATTTTGCTGTTTTAGTTTCATTTCCTGTAGAATCAATATCAAATATGTAAATAGATAAATTTGTATGTATTGGTAAAACTGTTTTCGATCCAATATGAACAATATTCATTCTAAACTTAAGTGTAGGGTTTTTACACGTACTTATGTGTACGAATAATTTACATGATCGGCCATAGGCTGACGAATATTGACGAAAACCTTTATCGTATAACTTCCCACTTTGTTGTTTATAACAGCTTATTTTTACTCGGAATAAAAATTTTACTTTAGACCCGCAACGCATGTGGTATAAATATCCGTGTTTTTGCTTTAGTATGACGAAAACCCCTTATTGTATTGAGTATTACGGAAGATAATATGCTTATTTAACGATAAAAGTTACACATAAAACTTAAGTTATACAAGGTTTTACGTCGGGACGGAAGTCCATTACATGTTTAGTTTTACATGTTGTAATGTTGAATGCAGTGATGAGGTGTATCTTCTATCACTCTTTTTTGTTCAATAATAACTGTGACTATTGTCGATATTTAATTTCAAAAATCCAAACAATTACATTTATTCGTATGTATTATAAATAACTTTAAAAACTCCGTCAATATTTTTTATGGTTGATTCTTCGTTCTAT